CCTACTCAATCACATTCCCAGTAGACATCTCTGCATTTCTTTAAAGCAAGCTATAGCTACAGAATTCCCATCAGATCCTAGACAAAGGATACAAATGTCTAAATGAACGATTCTCTTTCTCCAAGATTATCACTAACGATTACTAGAAGTGTAATGGTCGTTGTTTTGCTGTGCGGCTAATAAATTATGACCCTTTACAGCTGGGTTACTGCGGCGAACAGGGCTTACTATAGCATAGTATTGATCATTTTTTCTTCAAGAAAAATAGCGCATAATGGATTGTGTGAAAAAGTTATTGATGAAGTCGGAAACAGCAGAGCAGCCTCGTTGACGAAAATAATTTTGGCTCAAGCATATATCTGGGGTTTAGATGTATAAAAACGATTTGAAAATTCGCGCTAAAAACCCTAAAATTAGATTTTGATGTGTAAAGACATTCTTTTCACGAATAACCGGGCAAACCTCAACCATCTTGGATTCTGGCAGGCCATACTAGATTTCAAGTAATTTCCAAATCTTACGTTAAGCCCTATTAACTGTAGAAAGTTTCCATTTTGCGTTCTCTGGCGCATTTCGCTCTTTTTTCGAGGTCAAATGAGGAACACCAGTCTATGGCGAGTGCCCTTGACGATAGTGCGGTAAAGCAATTCAGTGAAGAGAACAGAATGCTAAGAGGGGAGGGGATGGAATTTTTTATTGAGAAACATCGAATTTAGATTTTATCATACAAAATTTTTCGATTAGCATGTAACAAGAAGTTATTGCATTGCCTTGTATTTTGAAAATTTATGAGGTGTAATAAAAATGAATAAAAAATGAAACAAAATGTATTAAAATAAAAAATGAAGGAATTTCCACACTTTGTAGGGAGTTCACTCTTTCTGCGAATTTTCGTAGACCATTAGTGAACTTGCAAACAGAATAATTAAATCTGATAATGCAGTGTTCCCCAGTTCTTGAGAAAATCTAAAATTCTTATTTCCTCTGGAATTTTGACTTTAGTTACATTTTTGATATAACTAACAAGAAGAAGATAAAATATTCATACGGTAACAAATTTTTGCAGTTAGGCCAGAAATTGTATAGTAACCATGAGGCACGATGTGATTGGCATATGGCACAGACCTTGAGTCATAAAGTTACCTAAGAGCTCTCAAGGATGGACTTAGCAAAAAAACGATGTTTCTCGAGTTTCAAAACATTCTGCATTTAGCTGTAGACGTTTGAGTAGAAAAAACAGCCTGATTTGCAAAAAAATTCAAGAAAGAGCTTTTTCAAGTTTTACAAAAATTTTCCCGTTTCAACTCAAAGATATATTCACTCAACGATGAATGCTGTGATCGAGTTCTATTATCTATCAGTCGCTAATGTGTCCTACGGTAAAAATAAGCAGTTCCGACTCAAGTTTTGCAAAAAAAAATTTCCGTTTCAACACAACCATATATTTACTCTTCGCCGAGGCTTTTGTTTCATGAACGTAGTTTTGTTATCCAACCAATCAATAACGTGTCCTGCAGTATCTCCAACCATAGCTTGCATGACTGCAGGTCTCAGTGTTTACTTACCCATGTTACTGCAAAGTTCTCGACGCGGATAGCGGCTGACCTGTGATCTTAGATCTATATCAAGCGTTCACTGCCCATCGCCCCGTCGCATTCGGGGTGTAAATACTCTGGCTGCGTGGCCGTCTGTGCACCGTCCGAGTGTCCACGATATGCCATCGTGTCAACGTTCTTATACTGGCCAAAACATGGGCCACCTTTGAAAATTCCGGATTGGACATTTCGACATCGATATCAGTTCTCTTTCGCAGACAGTTTTTCGGACTCTTTTGCGTCTTTGACCGCCAAGCATTGCTGACAGGCGGCAAAAATACCTCGAATGGTTGCTTTGGATAAATGAGACGTTCTCTTCACATTTTGGCAAATTTTTGCGGTTATTGAGTTTCTTAATGTTTTACCTTTTTTATGTCCATATTGCAATTTCGTTATTATTCGAAATTCTACTCATTCGTACAGAATGAATTGTTTAATTACTGCCTTATTTCTGATCTACTCCATTTTATACTTCATTTTTTATTCATCACCCATTTATTATTCATTGGTCCACTATTCTTCTCTCTCATGAAACATTTTTCTCTAATTCATTCCTTTCCACTCAATTAGTCCACCCTCTGTTGCATCCAAGTTACCATTTGAGCACTGGGACTATTGATTTATCGATTTTTATACAAGCATTTAATGCAGCCGATCTTTGACCAACGACTCAAAAGGCATACTTTGTTGATCTATCGATTGATTCACAAACTTCCGGCCACTCGTTCGTATAACAGTTCAAGAGTTTTTCTTTGCATGTCTTTGACTCCATACCTCAGTTTCGTGAGAAGATTTTTGTTCGCTTCGTTCCATCCACTTTGTATTTCATGATAATTTTCACTCTTCTCACAATTCTCAACTTTTAATGATCTCTTTCAGTCCCCAATCAAAAGCTGTTGCTTTTTGAGTGCATATCAATTTCTCTCATCTAAATTGTATGAGTAAATGTAATTGTAGGTGGTCACAATTCTGAATGAAATAGTCAAGACTTTCTTCTAATATCACCGATCTATACGCGGCGAATTTTCATTGGATTTTTCCACTATAAGATTAGACATGCATGGTGCTCAAAAGAACCGAACGTTTGTTTGATGCCAGTCGTATTTCTGCACCTAATTATTCTCCACTCCTCGATGTGAATGTTTTGTTTCCGCGCATGGCTTAGGACACATTTTTCGTCCAATCTTCTCTCACTTGCACATGGGCCGTTTTGAAAAAAAAATTACCTTCTTTTTTTGCTTTCTTCCTCCTCAATAATAAGCGTTAGACATTTATTTTTCGCTCAGATTTATCTCGGGAAGTCAAGATTTACATTTCTATAGGAGTTCGGATCTTATTACATTATATATAATGGATTTATTTTATTCTCAAAACCGTTATCACCGCGAATGATAGACTTCTAAGCCTTCTTTGAAGATGGCTTCCAAGAACTTGGAGACCATCAAATTTTACCATTTGGCCCGCATTCAAGATCCTGCTCTTCATTTTCCAACACAAAACTTTTTTATTGTTAAAATTATTTCACTATTATAAAGAATAACCTCTATGGGGATTCTTTTTAGAGGACGGTATTATGCCAAATACCAAACCAAAGAAATCCTCAGGCTAACAGCTACCAGAATCGCCTACTTCAACGTTCTCGACTGTAAAAGCTTGTCTGGCTGGGCAGCTCATTTATTTGCCAAATCAATCTCCCTCTGGGAAAAATAAGAGCGGCTACGACAACACAAAGCTTTCTCGCCTATCAGCTGTTCACCAATTAATCTCAAAAAAAAAAAAAAACTTGCCACCAGGGTTTTATGGATAACAGTAGTGCTGAATATCTTCCCAGAAGTGGAATTTTATGTGACCGTGTGTGTTCTCTTGAGACGAAAAGCCGCAATGAAGAGCGATAAAGTTGTTTTAAAGAAAAGGCATACTTTGGGGGCTAGAAGAGGATTCTGAAAAGAACTGAAGACGCGGCTTCTTGATCTATTCTCACCTTAAGAATCGGTTGATTGGAATGTTTCCTTTAAAATATTTAGCTGACATTGTTTGGCCGAGTAAATTTTTATTTTTTCGTTATAACGAGTCCAGTTTAATCCCAGTTCATTTCCAAGATTTGTAAGTCTGCGTAAAAATATAGTGCAAATCATTTGTTTTCCGCCGGTCTGTTATATGCCATTGCTCGCTTATCTCAAGGCTAAACCTCTTCCTTTTGATTCGGCAAAATAAATAGAAATTTTGCACAAGGCACGGATGCCAAAAATCAAAGCTATGTTCGATCTTTTATTTAGTAAGAATTGCTCAGAAAGGCTTGAAATCTTATTTAGGGCTGCACCTATCACTGGAGCAAATTCTAAAAATAATCTTGATTGAATACTCGGGTGGTCAAACAGTAACTCATGACTCTTTTCGAAATTTTTGCGCAGATCTCTGTTGCTTAACTTACATAGTTTTACATTTAAACAACTTTCGAATTACGATATTAAATCGCAAAAATAGTTGTTTAGTGGTTAGTGGTTTAGTGGTTTAAGCGGTTTAACTTCTTTATTTTTTAATAGTCAACATCTGCTCAAATGACGCACTGATGGTTAATAAGATATCATTATAGTACTATCAGTGATAAAAATAAACCCTTAGTTATCACAGCATTCTTCTCTATTTCTGATAATTCACTGTGAAGTGTGATTATTTTCACGTGAGATTGCGGAGGGCTGAGAGGCTTTTTATGAACAAAAGCGCAATGCTTTTAGACTTTTCTCAGTTTCGCTACTTACTATCATTTTCATATTTCTATCATTAGAGCAAAAAGTAAGGAAGATATCCTGCTCTGTCTACAATTTCTATGTGGTTTGATCTACTGATCTAATACGAAATCCGTATGTTTTGATGGTCAGTCGGGGCGATACGCTTCTTTCGCAAAGATCTTATCAATCATCACCGGCTGACCTTCGCTTGGTGAACGTTTTGGCTTGATAAGATAGTTATGCTCGAAACTATTTCATTGAATAACTCGTTTTGAATTGGCAAGATCGGAAAATTTTCTAGAAATTCCGACAGAGATCTTTTGCTCAAAATAAAACCAAATTGTTTATGCGTTCGCGATAAGAAGCGATTGATTTATGGCCAGCATGATGTCAATAAACAAGCCACTATTTGTACGCAATACTCGCTATTCACGTGTGTGTATCTGTGTAGTGTTATCTGCAGCCTTGACAAACTTCACTGATCACTTTGACTACGTTTTTATTACAGCATATGCTATGCGTAGTATTTTTTTGCTTCATTTCGAAACCTTCCGCTCACAAATTGTCTTTGTCAGCCGTTTATTATCACTGTCCACACTTCCGCGCTCCACTCTTTTTCAACACGTTGTGGCTTTTTGTTTTTTTTTTATCGGAAGAGTAGCCACAGTTTTTCAGCATGGTTCCAAACTTCGATGAAGACCTCGATACCAGAGATTCTACTGAATGTGAGCTCATTTTCAGTTATTACTCGTAAAACTCTGTTCTGATTTGCTTTTTATTAGTACATATTTCTTCCTCCTTGCTTACCCATTCAGTGCCACTTCTTTTTATCATGCCGATTTTTATATAAATTTAATCCCTTGATGCAATTTGGTGAGCCCTTTGATCGGTACCTTTGATATCTAAGTATATCACTCACTTGCGTAAATACACTATGATTGGCCTTTCCGTGTTTCTCTTTTTCGTCAGATTTGGTCCTTGCTTTTACATATTGAGCCAAATCTTTGATCCTAACCATGATAAAAATACGCATGAAATTTTTTGCTAAATTTTTTTTGGTTCAATGATGTTTGATACGACACATTTCATAGGTTGCATGCACTATTTAATCCTGACTTTTGAAGATACTATGATGGTCAATGGTCAGTGATCATTCGTACAGTGTAGCAAATGAACGCTCTGAGTCCTTTTTTTTTAAATTACGGCTTGTTTCAAGAGTTGGTAAACAAGTTTTAATGAGATAATGTTGAAATTGTCTTGAAAGTCATCTCAGTGACCATTCACTTATTTTTCACATCCAAGAATCCAAAAGGAGCTCAATTATGGAAGTTTAAATATTGTGGCCCAATGGTATTTATTTCGAAAACTCTCCTCTCAAGCGCATTTATCGCATCAAATTTGGTTTTGAGATTCGGACTATAAAAAATTAATAGATAAAATTTTTGTTACTATAATTCAGTCCGCTAATATAGTTAATGGCAGTTTAGTGAGTAAAAGCTGCAAATTAATGACTTTATCGTACTTGATGATTGTGGTATAATTCTTATATTACTAGTTTTCAATGCATCTGTATTAAAATTTCGAGTCAAATTGTAATAAATTTGTTCCAAAATTTGTTTTTATAAAAATGTCTGTGCTACAAAAAGGAATTGTAAAAAACGAGGAGGATCCCAAGCAAACTCAAAAATTCACTTTGTATGTATTGCATTTCACAATATTTATTTGCTGGACCGTTGCTGTTGTTTTTTCCTCGAGTGTGACCAGCTGCAAGTGTTTACCAGTGGCTAGTGATAAGAGATTGTGGCTGACTACACTGTTTTTCAAGAGTTTTCGTCTCAATTTATTCTATCAAAAAGAGGAAGTTCTGCTTACAGTGAATGAATCCCTCCCTGAAAAAGATCCAATGGCATGTATCGTGTGTGGTGATGTTGCTACTGGACGTCACTATGGTGCTATCGCCTGTAATGGTTGTAAAGGTAATGATTTTTGTTATTTAGTTTGATAATTAGCTTGTCTAGATATTTTGGATTGTTTGTAGTTTCTATTGGGCCGGTTTTTGGAATTTATAAATTATCTATTTTATTTTTTCAGGATTTTTCCGACGAACAATTCGACGAGGTTATAAATACACTTGCCGATTCAAATCTGAATGCTTTATTGACAAGCGTAAGTATCTTAGCTTGACTTCCTATTGATTCCACTTTCAATCGATAATTTCCTCGAAAATTTTATCTCTGGGGAGGGAGAAGGATCATATTAGCCTTTTAATCGTGTTTCTCCGATTGAAGTATTCATGAGTGTGAATTTGTTCCTAAAATGGAGAAGATCACCAACAGACATGCACTGGATTACTTTCCCTGCTGCTGTGTGCAACTGCACAATTTTATAGATAGGTTGATATAGGCTCACACATGTTTTCACTTTTACTGCTTTTCTCCATTTGAGCAAATTCGTATCGTAAAAAGTGATTGATCTCATTTGGTGCACTTCTGACCTGAGGAATGGCTTTCTCCTGAAAGTTGTGTAATTGCACACATGAGCGAGAAAACCTACTTGACTGTGCGTGACTCCTTTTTGAGTCATGTAATGCTCCTTTTCAACGTTTGATCTCTATTTGAGTTTTCGAAGCTTCTCCTATCCTCATTGTTTGTCCATTATTTTTGTTCATTCAAATTATCTATTCACTTATTTAGACAACCGAGCAGTATGCCGATTTTGTCGTTACACACGTTGTATACGCGCTGGAATGAGAATAGAACAGGTGCAGAATGAACGTGATGTGATCGGGAAACGGGTGCGAACGTCCAGCTCGTCGACGGCGCAGACAAAACCGCAAATAAAACGTCATCAAAGCGCTGACGAAGGGTGAGTGATCTTCGTCTAGGCAGTTGTAATTTTCGTTGACAGAAATTTTCGTTTGACGAGTTTGAAAAATTGTTGTTCAACAAAAAACGGTTGAAAAAATTGGTTTCACGTCGGGGTTACTGTAGTTTTGCTTTTCAAATTCAATGTAGTAGAGGTTCCCTTCTAATACTATCTTCTTTATTTATGACAAGGTGGAAACGCATGGTCAACTTGTATCGATTGGGCGATTGGTCACTGTGTAGCCGCGTCGCGCGAAGCTAGCGCGTCTCCGCCCCTCCTCGATCTGGGAACAATTCTTGATTGTCTACCACTTCTACAAGCAGTAAAAAATTCTCTGAGTAGTGAAATTCTCATAGTCGTACTTCGTTGAATGATAAGAGCAAGAGACTCAATGATATTCTTCAATTTCATTGTTGCGTTATTGTTTAGAAATACATTGTTTATCGACCAAGCTGGTAAATTTTTCAGACCATCAAAAAGGTCCTCGCCTGAAATCAGTGGATCATTTGAGGATGCTTGGGACTGTCCCGAAACGTTGATCAGTGCGCTACTAAAATCCGAAAAGACGATAAATGGTCTACGAGATTCAGTCATAAAACAAACGGGAAATGTGGAGTACACGGTAAATCCAGAAGAGCCGGTATGGTTCATTTCCTTTTGATCAATCACCCTAAAATTTAATTTTTTCTTACAGGCGTCTTCCTGTTCGGGGACCCGGACAGCCACACTTAATGACATAATCAAATCTCTACATAGTCAACTGCTCTTAGTAATCGAATGGGCAAAAACACTCCCTCCATTTCTTACCCTATCCACGACAGATCAGGTAGAAAATATTATTTTTATCTTATACTACGCATTGCGGTCCCAGGAAGATTATGCTTGACAGTTCAACAAAGAAATTGTGATGTTTTCAGACAGCTTTGCTCAAGAACTTTGCTCCACAACACATTGTATTATGCGTTTCATATCGTTCTAAAGAAGGAGCGGACTTTTTGAAACTGATCAACGACAGTTTTATTCTCAGGCCATCTAAGGATCTGCAAGATAAGAAGTATGTACTTGTCAGAACTTCATAATTAAAATCTATGGTTTCTTTTGGCACAGCCTATTAGGTTGGTGCAGAAGTTCTGTTGCATTATTTTTGAAAATCCATAACTTCTTGCTCTCGTAAAAGGTTTGCACAAATTTGATTTTGCTAGATAGAGAAATTCTTTTCATGGTGAGAGCTTCTTTATTACTCTCTAATAAGGAGGAGCTTTTGAGATGGAAGTAGGAAAGTTGCTCCAACTTCGGTATCTTGAGTTAGGCTGCTAAAAATCTGAAAACTGCGAAATTCCCAGAAAGAATTTCAGGAAGTCTTTGATTTCAACAGTAAAGAGTTTGTATCAAATTAGCATCTATGTGAAGAGTTATGATTCTCGGGTAAGCAATACAAAACAGCAAATTTGATTTTTTGGTGTTTTTTTGAAGATCATAAAGTGCGGTTCATAATTATACGAACACCCCAAATTTTAGAAATTTCTGGACTTTTTGACGGAAACTTAAAAAGCCGTTGGTACCATGCGAAAGAGCACAACCGAGAACGGTATATGATCCACAAGAATGGGAACCGAAGCCAATTTTAGGAGTGTTTTTGCGCCCAATGCGAATTTTTAGCGGTTCATAATTATACGAACACCTGAAACAAAAGTCCTTTTTTCATTCAAGATTGCAATCATTTAAGTCCAATTTTTTCTGTAAAGTTACCAAACAAAGTCTGACGTGTCTGCTACATACTGAACCCAGTGCAGTTTGAAAAGAGGAAATTACTTTTTTCAGAAGGCTGTAAATGTTTTTGGAGTGATTGCGCTCCAAAATTATCCGCTCTTCTGTGGTTTACGCGCTCTAATTAGTTTCGATTAAAGCTATGAGATAAAGTGAGCTCTTTCGTTAGGTATTTTGTTTGACGTTTGGAAAATCTTTGCGTTTTCATGCCGGTTTTCAACCAAGTTCCAACCTTACCACAGAGTTAGCACGATTTCGAGCCTCAAAACTCAGCTTCTGAAGCCGTACAATGAAGTAAGCATATGATATGTAGAGGTTCACAAGACTGTATATTTGGCTAGAAAAAATCAGCAGCGTTGAACGTTTGTTTTGGCCGCGCAGACATCATTTCACCAAAAACACTGTTTTTACTATTGCAATCACACCTTTATTTGGGTTGTAGCTCCACAGCCTCAAGATCAGTTCTACAAATACCCAAAAATTTTAGCACAGAAACATCATCATGCAAACAATGCAGCTACTTCATATCAAATGTTTGCGCAACAAAGAAGCTGAGTTTTGAGGCTCGAAATCGTGCTAACTCTGTGGTAAGGTTGAAACTTGGTTGAAAAACGGCACGAAAACGCAAAGATTTTCCAAGCTTCAAACAAAATACCTATCGAAAGAGCTTATTTTATCTCATAGCTTTGGTAGAAGCTATTTAGAGCGGGTAAACCACAAAAGAACGGATGTTTTTGACAGCGCAATCACTCCAAAAGCATTTAGAGCCTTCTGGAAAAAAGTAACGGTCCTTTTTTAAACTGCACTGGATTCAGCGCGTAGCAGATATGTCAGACTTTGTTACTGTAACTCTTCAAAAAATCTGGACCCAAATGATTGCAATCTTGAATGAAAAATGGACTTTTGTTTGAGGTGTTCGTATAATTATGAACCGCTAAAAATTCGCATTAAGCGCAGAAACACTCCTAAAATTGACATCGATTTCCATTCTTATGGATCATATAACGTTTTCGACTGTGTTCTATCACGTGGTACCAACGGCTTTTTGAGTTTCTCCCAAAAAGCCCGAAAACTTACAAAATTTCGGGTGTTCGTATAATTATGAACCGCACTTTAGTTCTTCACAGAGGTCCTTTTTTGAAACGAATTCTGCACAAATGGAAAGGATGGATTATAAGACTTACTACGTTGTTTGCAAATCTTATCGCAAGTTTCAGATTATTAGCAGCCTAACTCAAACTGAATGAAGTTGAAGTAATCTCATTCTCCTGCTTCCATCTCAAATGCTACCCCCAGGGCCCGGCACGAGGTGGGCAGACGGGGTTTTCCAAAACGAATTCCCCTTTGACCCCAATAGTTTTTACGAATACGCCCTTGAGCCCAAAAATGACGTTTTGTGCTTGTGGAACGAGAGCACCGGCCACACTTCGCCTAAAAGCGCTCAAAAGCGCCCAAAATGCTCATATTCCTCTAATTACTCCTCACCTGTATGAAGATAGAAAACAGGAAGAAGAATAAGCAAGGAAAATGATGAAGGAATGAAAAAATATGAAAGGAACGCAGTCATAGGACTGACAAGGGAAGTTCACTTAATCGAAGTGGCGATTCGCAAAGAGATCTATACCGGTGGATAGAGCTTAAAAAGCTGATTTCAGGTATACCTTCTATATCTGCGATGCGTTGTTCTGAAAAAAGCTTGAGCTTTTCTAAAGCCAAAATTTCGTGCATTTTGAGTCGCAAAATCATGATAATCGCTACACAAAAGTGTGCAAGCTTAAGCAGACCACCTAATAAGCATTGTAAGTCTAATTCGAGTTTATCCGAACGCTATCCGGTGTTTTTCGACCATGTTTTCATCCATATGTCATCATTTTATTCCTAGATCACACTTCCATTATGTATACAAAAAAGCCCCATAACCTCCATCTAGAAAAATGCGTCGCGTAGGAAACTTTTTTGGAAACTACCAATGGATAGAACGTGAAACGATGTCCTCAAATATATCTTCAATATCTGCGACGCGTTCTTCTAGGTGGAGGTTATGGGTTTTTTTGTGTATATAGTGGAAGTGTGATCTAGGAAGCAAATGACGGCCTGTGAAAAAACAACATGGTCGGAAAACACTCGAAAACGTTTGGACAAACTCGCATTAGACCTACAATGCTTACTTAGTGGTTTGCTTAAGCTTGCACACTTTTGTGTAGCGATTATCATGATTTTGCGGCTCAAAATGCACGAAAATTTGGCTCTAGAAAAGCTCATAACTTTTCTCAGAACAACGCATCGCAGATATAGAAGGTACAGCTGTGATCAGCTTTTTAAGCTCTATCCACTGGTATAGATCTCCTTCCTAATCGCCACTTCGACTAAGTGAACTTCCCTTGTGAGAGACGCCGCTACCGCGCGTATTGATTGACTGGGGCGCTCTTTCCATCTTAGAAAGCTAGGCTGCTGATGCGATTTTGGGCTCTAACAAAGACAAGAGGAGGAGTTTCGGAACCAAAATCTCACCATATAGTAAACCTTAGGTGAACAACAGGTTTATGTGAAAATCTTGAAAAAATTATGTGGATTGAAAGTTTTGCCCACCTCAGGTGGGCATTAGGTGGGCAATTGCCCACCTAAATTGGAAAAAAGTTAAGCACGCTCTTCATTTACATAAGTTTTTCATAATTTTTCATACATTGTTCCTTAGTCCTACAATACCGCTCACATTTTTTGAAAAATAGACGCGAATGTATGGACATGTATGGACATGTACGGATATGTCCATACATGTATGGACATGTCCATACGTCAGCGTCGCGTGGCCATATCTCGCTTCAGAGTGGACAAATTCTGAATCCAAAGCCACCATTCGATTCAGCTTGGCGCGGAGAATCTTCTGATGTACTGGAAGTGGGGGTACGATGTCTTCGATATTCCGTTTCCAGTTTTTTCAATTTGTTCTGCGGAGGTCCTTTCGCGAATATGTGAAGCAACGCCTACCCAACATAGAAGACTTCACTGAGTACTATTCGTAATACTGTTCTTGTAGATTATTGTGCGCTAAAAAACAGGCTCAGACTTCTTTCCAGAGCAGATAGAAGCGTTGGTGAATTTTGGAAAAATCATGCGTTTGTAAATTCTACTCGCCATAACTTCCTTCGTAATTAGTATATTCTGAATCCGAAAACAGCGCCTTGCTCAGCTCGTCGAGGCGAATCTTCTTATTTTCAGCATGTCCTTGATATTTCGATTTCAGTATTCTTGAATCTTTCTGAGGACGTCTTTTCGCGAAGGTGTAAAGCAGCGAGCATTGTCCCGAGTACATTCCAGCAAGGATCTTTCGACAGCACTTTTTCTGTAGATTATGATGTGCTGAATAGTAGCCGCAGGTATTTCCAAAGGAAATAGAACGGCTGGTGAATTGTGGAAAAATCTTGTCGTCCCAAATTCTGTTCACCATAGCCCCCATGATATGAAGCTATCTTGTTAAGCAAATGTGAGTTTCGAAATCAGCAAGTCGCATAACCTCTGTGAGCAAGTTTTCCGATATGTTCGGGTTATTTCATATCTTCTCGTTTTAGGCTCCAGAAGCTCGCCGATGGATTTTGGTCAAAATGTTGATGCTCCTGAATTGTAAGGAAACTTCGCTTATGGAGGTTTTCGAACACGCTGATTACGAAAATCGTGGTCTTTGAGGATTACAGGGTCTTGTTGGAGAGATACGGTGAGGTGTGACTGTAATTGCATCATGAAGTGCATAACTTTGCCCGTACTTCTCGCGTAAATTTCAGAAAACTTGCCCGCTTGTTTATATGAGTTAAATTTGCCGGGGAATGTGCCATCGAATGGTGTATGACTCACGCTCCAGTCTGTAAAATAAAATTCACCGAGTTACGAGCCTACGAAAACACATCCTCATGAATTTTGCCCAAAATGTAAAGATCGCATACTTCGTCGAAATTTCTCCCTGAGCGCTAGTACAACACGCTAATCAAATCCTTCCACATTTTTAATGGATCTTATTGTGTTAGATGGTGCTATGAGCTCTAGCCACGAAATAGCTTTGATATTCAATTGAGCAGCTGAAGCACACGCAAGCACCATATTCAACTTATAATAACGGGCTAAGGGTGTTTACGTGACTTTGTGTGTGTGTGTGTGTGTGTCCGTCTGTCTGTAACGAAATTCATAGAGCGGGTTCCAGCCAACCTCCTGGGCTCAAATTTTGCAGAGCGCATGTTACCCGCATGAAAGTCCAACGTGCAAAAGCACGAGCAGATTCGTTGAGTAGATCCCTCAGAAACTGCGTGTCAAACGGATCCACTTGCATCATTTGGGCTGCAAGATTGGGTCCGTAATTTCACTTTTTCCAGAGTCGTAGATGTTTTTGCCAAGTAAATGTGCAAGCCATGAACTTAGGCTCAAAAAAGTGATCAAAAGTCCATTACTTTACAAAAACGGCGCCAAAAAGTATTGGTTGCGTAAATGGTCAATTTCACAAGAACTTACCAGACCTTTTGACTAGATTTTTGCACAGAGTGTAGCTCACGGTGACTGCTGTTCTTATAGCAACTTTAAAGACCATGGAAAAATCAAAAACCTATGAAAATTTACATTTGTTTTCCTGCAAAAAGTCTCATCCACGCAAAATCACCAATTTCACATAAGAAAGCTTTCGGAATGAGTAGTTGTTTACATTTTTTTCGTGATAGTTGGCATTGCTCGGTGAGTTCCAATGCCATCATTATGCGAGAATGAGTAGAGCCTAGATAGTAGAGCAGTGCGAGCCTCTGCGAAGCAGAGGTGACGCACTGGTATTCAATAGCACCAAATCTAACACAAGAAGATCCATTAAAAATGTGAAAAGATTTGATCAGTGTGTTATACAAGCGCTCACGAAGGAATTTCGACGAGATATGCGATCTTTACATTTTGGGCAAAATTCATGAGGACGTGTTTTCGTAGGCTCGCAACTCGGCGAATTTTATAGACTGGAGCCTGATTCATGCACCATTCGATGGCATATTCCCCGGTAAATTTAAATTATATAAACAAGCGGGCAAGTTTTCTGAAATTTACGCGAGAAGTACGGGCAAATTTACGCACTTCGTGATGCAGTTACAGTCACACCTCACCGTATCTCTCCAACAAGACCCTGTAATCCTCAAAGACCACGATTTTCGTAATCAGCGTGTTCGAAAACCTCCATAAGCGAAGTTTCCTTACAATTCAGGAGCATCAACATTTTGACCAAAATCCATCGGCGAGCTTCTGGAGCCTAAAACGAGAAGATATGAAATAACCCGAACATATCGGAAAACTTGCTCACAGAGGTTATGCGACTTGCTGATTTCGAAACTCACATTTGCTTAACAAGATAGCTTCATATCATGGGGGCTATGGTGAACAGAATTTGGGACGACAAGATTTTTCCACAATTCACCAGCCGTTCTATTTCCTTTGGAAATACCTGCGGCTACTATTCAGCACATCATAATCTACAGAAAAAGTGCTGTCGAAAGATCCTTGCTGGAATGTACTCGGGACAATGCTCGCTGCTTTACACCTTCGCGAAAAGACGTCCTCAGAAAGATTCAAGAATACTGAAATCGAAATATCAAGGACATGCTGAAAATAAGAAGATTCGCCTCGACGAGCTGAGCAAGGCGCTGTTTTCGGATTCAGAATATACTAATTACGAAGGAAGTTATGGCGAGTAGAATTTACAAACGCATGATTTTTCCAAAATTCACCAACGCTTCTATCTGCTCTGGAAAGAAGTCTGAGCCTGTTTTTTAGCGCACAATAATCTACAAGAACAGTATTACGAATAGTACTCAGTGAAGTCTTCTATGTTGGGTAGGCGTTGCTTCACATATTCGCGAAAGGACCTCCGCAGAACAAATTGAAAAAACTGGAAACGGAATATCGAAGACATCGTACCCCCACTTCCAGTACATCAGAAGATTCTCCGCGCCAAGCTGAATCGAATGGTGGCTTTGGATTCAGAATTTGTCCACTCTGAAGCGAGATATGGCCACGCGACGCTGACGTATGGACATGTCCATACATGTATGGACATATCCGTACATGTCCATACATGTCCATACATTCGCGTCTATTTTTCAAAAAATGTGAGCGGTATTGTACTGCGCGTATACACACCAAGTCTCGCGCGATTTCGTTTTCTCTGCGCTGCAAACGAGCCATTTTTCCATTTTCTTGATAGTGGGAAATTTTCAGAAAAAAGCTTGCCACAACCTTCATTCATATAATTTTTCAATAAAACTTCTAAGATAAGCCCTGCAGGCCCGTGTTCATGTACCTACCAAGTTTCATACCGTATGGTCATCTGTGCGCTGCAAACGAGCCATTTGAATTCACATCTTCATTTACCAGTTTTGCGAAATTTTTGGAAAAAATGCTTATTACACCTCCCATTCACATAAGCTTTTCATACATTTCATGCTTTGTTTCTACTAGCCTCTCTTTGTTCGCTTACGTAATTTGATGCTATATCATTACGCCTGCATTGAGAACTGATCATGTAATCATGCTGTTCAACGGCATCGCTCATGCGAAGTCGCGCACGCGGCAATAAGCGGCGACACGGCGTAGTGCGCGCGAAGTCTGCTGTGCGTTGAGGTCTATGAAAACTATTTTCCGATGAATTAGATGTATAAGGTAAGCATGATTCGACCTTCTTTTGCTTGCACCTGGAACCTTCTTCCGGGGCTCCGCCCCCGATCCCGCAAAAACGATATCCCCTTTGCTTTTTGGCCCCAAAACGATTTCCAGCTTGTCATTTGCCTACCTCGTGCCGGGCCCTGGCTACCCCTTATCAGAGAGCAGAAAGGCACTATCATGGAAATTAAGTTCGTGCGAATCCTTTAAGAGAGCAAGGAGTTTATAGGTATTCAAAAATGATGCGACGGAACGTTGCACCAATCTAACATCAGCAGTTTGGAGTTTTTGACATCATCGGCACACAGCTTTTTGGTTCGAATTTTTTGTTTCTTCTCCATTTGCTTTAGAGACAACTTCTGATTTTTTTAGACAGAACATTTTTTGAATTCTTCCTTACGTTGCAGAACTCAAAAATAGGTAATAGATTTTGAGTAAAGCAGATACCAAAACTAGCAGCTTTTTTACTTACTGCAGCTTTTGAAATACTTCTAATAGGCAATTTCGGAAATTCGAAGCTGTTGTTTTCAATTTCAAACGCATAATCACGAAAAATCACATCTCAAATGTTATATGTTTCGTTGCAAGCATCATTACCGTATCATTACCGTATAAGATACCGTATCACTCACCATGCATCCGGCCGTGAATTTTGGCAATCATCCAGCAGTTCACTGATAATCGATATTTCCAGTGGTTTTTACCTTCCTGACTGTGAAAAAGTGATGGATCAAATGGTGGCACCGATGAGATTTTTGGCAATCGACGATGCCGAATTCGTTACGCTCAAAGCTTGTGTCTTGTTCAACCCTGGTTAGCATTACTGGAAAGTCTTTTCTCTTTTCTAGATTTTCATTCTGGACGGGTTACTTCTAGTTGCAAAAGGCCTATCGCCATTGGCTGTCACTACCGTATTGAATACCCGAAGGCGTATCTTCTCAGCGTTGGAACATTACGTTCGGACGAGAAAATTCGATGAAAAAACGCGGTTAGGAGATCTGACGTGTTTTTTGCTTTCTCCGTTATCGGTAAGGATTTGGGACGGAGCCAAGAATCCTGTCACTGAAAACTGAAACGAGTTATTTTGCAGTCTTTGGCAAATTCTATTTGCGAAGATATTTTGGTGACAAAATTGAGCGGTGTGGCACGGCTGGATGTACTTATGGAAGAACTTATGCTAGCCGATGCTGAAGAACAAAACAAAGGTCCTCAAAGAGGTCTGTAGATTACGTGGTTCCTGATTTTCTCTCGAAAATGGTTAGTTTTGCAGCAATGCTAACCGTCGACACAGCTCTACCCTCTACCAATGATTTTGGCAGTTTGTTATCTGAGAAGACGTAAGAGAAATTCTAAATAAGACAAAAATGACCAAGAAATTCAAAAGAAACACTTTTTAGGTCACTTTCGTTGACAGAACCATTATCGGACGAGTTTGACGCTCTCAGCACATTTCCCGCAAAATCACAGTTCGGCTAAGGAACAATGAAGATCTAAGGAAGCACTTCGAACGACGAAGGCAATGCATAAAGTGATAAAAGTGAGGAACATTAAGATTAAATGCTTAAAATGGCACTGAGTGTGAAGTAAATAGTTTGTAATATATGAGAATGTAGAAAATGTAGAAAATTAACATCAAAACTTGGACAAATAAATACAGAAACTAAACTCATTGCAAACAGAAAATTCTCACTGACAACTGATTTCAGACTATGACACCGTAAACAACATTTTACAAGTAAAAGAACTATTCAAAACAAATATGTAAACAAACAACGCTACACTAACAATCTAGTAACTTAAACTATCTTAATAGCCTCCATTTGGGATATATAGAGGGCTGTGCTGGCACGATGCCAACTGACTTGACCAGAGCAGATTCGGTGACACTGAAGGAGATGGTGAGATCGGAAGTGACCTAAACAAAAGAATTTATTGATCCCACAGCAGATGATTTTGTTGAAGCTTACTCCTCAAAGTTTGAAAGAGTAAAAGTATGGGTGATTCCCGAGGGAAATGTGCTGAGAGCGTCAAACTCGTCCGATAATGGTTCTGTCAACGAAAGTGACCTAAAAAGTGTTTCTTTTGAATTTCTTGGTCATTTTTGTCTTATTTAGAATTTCTCTTACGTCTTCTCAGATAACAAACTGCCAAAATCATTGGTAGAGGGTAGAGCTGTGTCGACGGTTAGCATTGCTGCAAAACTAACCATTTTCGAGAGAAAATCAGGAACCACGTAATCTACAGACCTCTTTGAGGACCTTTGTTTTGTTCTTCAGCATCGGCTAGCATAAGTTCTTCCATAAGTACATCCAGCCGTGCCACACCGCTCAATTTTGTCACCAAAATATCTTCGCAAATAGAATTTGCCAAAGACTGCAAAATAACTCGTTTCAGTTTTCAGTGACAGGATTCTTGGCTCCGTCCCAAATCCTTACCGATAACGGAGAAAGCAAAAAACACGTCAGATCTCCTAACCGCGTTTTTTCATCGAATTTTCTCGTCCGAACGTAATGTTCCAACGCTGAGAAGATACGCCTTCGGGTATTCAATACGGTAGTGACAGCCAATGGCGATAGGCCTTTTGCAACTAGAAGTAACCCGTCCAGAATGAAAATCTAGAAAAGAGAAAAGACTTTCCAGTAATGCTAACCAGGGTTGAACAAGACACAAGCTTTGAGCGTAACGAATTCGGCATCGTCGATTGCCAAAAATCTCATCGGTGCCACCATTTGATCCATCACTTTTTCACAGTCAGGAAGGTAAAAACCACTGGAAATATCGATTATCAGTGAACTGCTGGATGATTGCCAAAATTCACGGCCGGATGCATGGTGAGTGATACGGTATCTTATACGGTAATGATACGGTAATGATGCTTGCAACGAAACATATAACATTTGAGATGTGATTTTTCGTGATTATGCGTTTGAAATTGAAAACAACAGCTTCGAATTTCCGAAATTGCCTATTAGAAGTATTTCAAAAGCTGCAGTAAGTAAAAAAGCTGCTAGTTTTGGTATCTGCTTTACTCAAAATCTATTACCTATTTTTGAGTTCTGCAACGTAAGGAAGAATTCAAAAAATGTTCTGTCTAAAAAAATCAGAAGTTGTCTCTAAAGCAAATGGAGAAGAAACAAAAAATTCGAACCAAAAAGCTGTGTGCCGATGATGTCAAAAACTCCAAACTGCTGATGTTAGATTGGTGCAACGTTCCGTCGCATCATTTTTGAATACCTATAAACTCCTTGCTCTCTTAAAGGATTCGCACGAACTTAATTTCCATGATAGTGCCTTTCTGCTCTCTGATAAGGGGTAGCCAGGGCCCGGCACGAGGTAGGCAAATGACAAGCTGGAAATCGTTTTGGGGCCAAAAAGCAAAGGGGATATCGTTTTTGCGGGATCGGGGGCGGAGCCCCGGAAGAAGGTTCCAGGTGCAAGCAAAAGAAGGTCGAATCATGCTTACCTTATACATCTAATTCATCGGAAAATAGTTTTCATAGACCTCAACGCACAGCAGACTTCGCGCGCACTACGCCGTGTCGCCGCTTATTGCCGCGTGCGCGACTTCGCATGAGCGATGCCGTTGAACAGCATGATTACATGATCAGTTCTCAATGCAGGCGTAATGATATAGCATCAAATTACGTAAGCGAACAAAGAGAGGCTAGTAGAAACAAAGCATGAAATGTATGAAAAGCTTATGTGAATGGGAGGTGTAATAAGCATTTTTTCCAAAAATTTCGCAAAACTGGTAAATGAAGATGTGAATTCAAATGGCTCGTTTGCAGCGCACAGATGACCATACGGTATGAAACTTGGTAGGTACATGAACACGGGCCTGCAGGGCTTATCTTAGAAGTTTTATTGAAAAATTATATGAATGAAGGTTGTGGCAAGCTTTTTTCTGAAAATTTCCCACTATCAAGAAAATGGAAAAATGGCTCGTTTGCAGCGCAGAGAAAACGAAATCGCGCGAGACTTGGTGTGTATACGCGCAGTACAATACCGCTCACATTTTTTGAAAAATAGACGCGAATGTATGGACATGTATGGACATGTACGGATATGTCCATACATGTATGGACATGTCCATACGTCAGCGTCGCGTGGCCATATCTCGCTTCAGAGTGGACAAATTCTGAATCCAAAGCCACCATTCGATTCAGCTTGGCGCGGAGAATCTTCTGATGTACTGGAAGTGGGGGTACGATGTCTTCGATATTCCGTTTCCAGTTTTTTCAATTTGTTCTGCGGAGGTCCTTTCGCGAATATGTGAAGCAACGCCTACCCAACATAGAAGACTTCACTGAGTACTATTCGTAATACTGTTCTTGTAGATTATTGTGCGCTAAAAAACAGGCTCAGACTTCTTTCCAGAGCAGATAGAAGCGTTGGTGAATTTTGGAAAAATCATGCGTTTGTAAATTCTACTCGCCATAACTTCCTTCGTAATTAGTATATTCTGAATCCGAAAACAGCGCCTTGCTCAGCTCGTCGAGGCGAATCTTCTTATTTTCAGCATGTCCTTGATATTTCGATTTCAGTATTCTTGAATCTTTCTGAGGACGTCTTTTCGCGAAGGTGTAAAGCAGCGAGCATTGTCCCGAGTACATTCCAGCAAGGATCTTTCGACAGCACTTTTTCTGTAGATTATGATGTGCTGAATAGTAGCCGCAGGTATTTCCAAAGGAAATAGAACGGCTGGTGAATTGTGGAAAAATCTTGTCGTCCCAAATTCTGTTCACCATAGCCCCCATGATATGAAGCTATCTTGTTAAGCAAATGTGAGT